AAAGTTGACATTACCCTAGTCTTTTTTTTTTTTTTTTTTAACAGTATTAACCTCAAGTGTTACAGCAGTCAAAAGAAGAGACACTCTGCTCTCTAATGCGCCACATATTGTTCCTTAGGAGCATGCAAATGGTTATAACCTCTAGATTTTAGTTTTTAATAATCTAGTTTCCTCGTTTGTGGTATGTGCAGCACAGGACATCCTCTGGTCACGTCGTGTCACATGCAGAAGAAAATCTGCAACCCTGATGTTGCCAAGTGGGAGGGGGAAAAGGCAGGAGCACCTAGCTGTGGCTGGCTGTGCTCACTGAAATGAGAGTCCCTGCATCCTCCTCCTTTTCCTTATCTATGGTTGTCTTTAATGTGGCATAGAAGCTCTTAGGTTTTTGCTTATTGTCAATGTAATATAAAACATTGGTTGTGTTTTGGTTTTAGGGCATGGTCTCTGGGAGTTGATTTCGTATAGAGCTGGAAACTACTTTGTTCATTGGATTGGCCCACTTCAATCTACTTGATCAAAATTAAGAGTTTTGGGAAGTGAATTTTAACCTCGGTTCTACTGTTTGTGGCAGATACTTTAAATTGTTCCTGTGCCAGAGAACACCCATGGTAATCTCATGAGCATGGAAGTGGCTCTGCCATGTGCCATTGTGTGGTTTGGGGATGTGGCCGGCTAGGAATGGGCACATTATAGGCAGAGAAATGGCCTCTGCAGCACTTCCAGACTTGTTTTCTTCTGAAATCTGCTCCCTCAGGGTTTAGGCTCACCTTTGTGGCCTAGTAAACCTGTCATTAAAGGTAAAATACCAGCTGGTTATTGCTGTGGCTCCATAATTTATCACAGCAGTGGTGAGAAAATAACTGTATTTAAAAAAAATCCTTACTGTTATGCTTTATGTTATTCAGAAGTATGTGTATCTGTGGAAGAAATCTGTTTTTTCCATCTTAAGACTGAAAACTTGTGGCAGAGGTTCTTTAATGAACAGTTGAGTTATTAAAACTTTAAACTTTGTTCTTCTGTAGGCTGTCATTTTAATGATGCAGGGTATTTTAATGATATATTAACTGACTAATAAATGTGTGTGGGAACTACTTGGGTTTTTATTTTTGCTATAATGAAGCTTAATAACTAGTGAGAACAGTTTTGTTTCTTCGATGGTCTTGAGAAGAAAACTTACCACAATTTTATTTTCTACTGTGTACATAAATATATGAGGCATACTGCATAAAAATACTGATATTAAGTGTTGGAGTAGCTTTTGGTAATAGTAAACACAAGCTGTGAGACCTCACTGGGTGTTAAGAAAAAATTTCCAATTTCTTTTTAAACTTCCAGACCTGGGGGAAGGTACGTATGAGGAGACTGCTAGTAATTGCCCCAGGTACATGTGACAATAGTTGCCCAGTGGAAGGAGAAAGAAACCATCAATAAGATTGTCTTTGAGGAACAGCGATGGTAAGTTGCATGTGGTCAGGCTTCATCTAGAATTGCCGAATGGTTTGGGTTGGAAGAGACCTTAAAGATCATCTAGTTGACTGCCCCCTGCAGTGGGCAGTGACATTTTCCACTTCCATGCTCGAAGGCCCATCCAGCCTGGCTTTAAATGCTTTCAGTGATGGGGCATCCACAGCTGCGATAGATGACCAGGAGTGTGGTAAAAGGTGAATTCAGGGAACTGGTTTTCACAGGTAGAGAGCATAAAGACATGCACTGCTTTCCTCTCAGAAAAACTTCTCTTCAGATAACAGATCATCATTCTTAAATTGTTTTCCTCTACTATGTAATCTTCTCAACACCTTAGTTCTGAGCGTACCAAAGTCCAGACTGCTTGCCTGTGTTTGTATACACAGAAATACCTTGTGACAAGTACTTTGAATGTCAAAGAATTTTAACATTAACTCCGGAGCACAGGCTTCATCCTCAACTATTAGATAGATTTTGTTCCCAGTGTATTTAGCATGATGGTGCTGAGTGTGTGAGAAGGGGGGTTGATACCGGAAAGCAGGCCACTTCCAAGACAAGGATTTGGATGGTGATACTATGTGGTATGTGTGTCAACTTTGGTTCTCCTTGTTCCTTAGAATTGCTACTAAAGGGTCACTTAACTGATACTTCTTCATTTTTAAGTAGTGTGAAACGTGTGTGATTATGGTCCAATAACTTGGGCATTCAAACACCATTTCAGACACATTTACCCATTTCCAGAGAACAATCATCTTTCACTTTGCCACTGGGCAAGTCTAGCTCAACTGTTTGGCTTAATGCATAGAGGGTGGTTTGTATCCTCCCCAACTAAGGGGCTTCAAGGACTCACTTGTGCGTGTTTGTCTGCAGGGAGAAGCTGGGAGGTCACCTCCTGTCCTCAGCAGCCTTGCAGCACATGCTAGCCAGAGGATAGAGATGCATAGGGTTTGCTGAAGGGTGAGAGCACTGGCTGGGCATTCAGGGCCAAAGTGGCCACCTGTCTCACCATGGTAGGGTGTGCTTTCCTAGCCGGCTCTTAGCAAGGCTGCTTGTCGGCTATCTGCATCAGTAATTTGACCTGACGTGTATTCTGATGCTTGCTAGGGAGCCTAGATAAAATCGGAGAAAAGCTGACTCTGAAGAGCTTGGCAAAATGATGAATTCTGAATGCTGGGTGAAACCCCACGTATTTGGCTTTCAGACTCGAAGCTCTGCCAGGCGCGCTGATGCTTTCAACTTGGCTGCAATTCTTTGAACTTTATTGTGGGTAGAAAACATGTGAGAAGCCTGGGAATGACGAGCTGAAGTTAAATGTAAAAATGTGCGAACTCTGAATTTGTTTCTCTTTCTAGCTGCAGGCTAAACCTTTTGATGAGCTTAAATTAAATTCTTTAAGGATGCCCATTCAGGCAGTCCCTCTGTTGGCAAGATACTCTGCGGGTTACTTGGAATTGTTGGCAGCTGTCTGAAGATTTTTTTCTTTTCTCATTAAAATTAATGGCAGATCTTCTGTGTGTTAAGACAGCTTTGAAGATTAGTCAATGTTTCCGGAGGCAAGAGTAGTATCTGTTTCTAAAGCTAGATGCATAAATGCAATATATTCACTACAGCACTTGGATTATGAAACATCTTGATTTCTTTGGTTTTACCTCCTTGGCTTAATGCTTCTTTACACTTCTGGCTTATTTTCTTTTGTGAAACTTGTAATATGATTTATAGAGAAGTACAGTATTCTCACCACCAGCTCATTGCAGTTATGTTTGGGGAGGTTTTTTTAAGCCAGGAGGCTAATCATAGTAACATACTCATGTAACGGTGAACAAATGTTCAGCTTTAGGATCTCTCAAAGGCAACTGCAGTTCCTTTGCCCTCTCTTTTGCTGCCCATCCACGCGGGTGTTGTGCAGTTGGATGGTATGGTAGGAGGCCAGGTGTGCAGTGGGCTTGATGCCCATACATGTGTCTGCCTGTAAGACTCGGAGAACTGTGTGCTTGTGTACCTCCTCTAGTTTAGGCTGGGTCTGAGTGAAGACGATGCTTTTCCGAAGCAGGAAGAGATGATGTTGAGCATGGTGGAAACTGGAAGGTGTGAGAGTAATCTCTATTTTTTCCAATAATCATGGGTCAAGTGTTGCTGGAGAGACTGGTACTAAGTAACTAAATCAGTACTTGAATGCGTCCTGGTTGACTGTAGTCTGTATTTACCTCGAGTAGATCATTGTGGTATAATACACACAAACCACAAAATACCACACGAAATGCTGTCTTGCACAGAAACTAGAAATCACTGGTTTTCTTCAGGGGATTAAAATTTTATCTTAAAAAAATATAGAGAACATGTGTAACTGCTGAATGGGTCCCTCCAGGCTTTCTGTCTAATCAGATTCTGTAGAATTACAGACGCTCTTGGATAATGCTGCTGGTGATTTAATCCCCAGCAGAGGATTATTATTTGTTGTCACAGTAGCAAGCAATAATTCTTTCATGAACACAGAAGCAATCAAAGAACACAAAGCCCACAAATCCACTTACAGTGTGTTGGAAAACACCGTTCAAGTTCCCTGTGTTTTGGCAAGCTGTTTTCCTATACGCATCAGACTTATGTACCAAATAAAAGTAGCCATGAGTTGGTATGCTGCAACTTTAACATCATCTTGCATGAGTCTGAACTCCTGGGGCTGGAGCAGTGGTGTTTGGTAAGTACTGCTGGATGCAGCTCTAGGCAGTGTCAGGAACGCAGTGCAAAATCTGTGACAAGTTCTAGCTGTGGAACTGAATTCTTAACCACAGGCTGATGTTTGTATTAGGTGAGTTACGGAAGTCTTGGAGACACTGGTTTCAGAGCCTCCAACAAAAGGCGCTCTATACCACTGCTGGTCCTGTCAGGGTGTTTCAAAGGTCGTACCCTTGTGATGCATTTCCATGTACGACTTCTGCTTTGTGTGGTAGGCAACACATTGCACTTTGGGCCTGTTTTGTCTTTCACATTTTCCAGAACAGTGCAAAGCATCCCCTGCCAAATAGGTGTTAGGAAATAGATTGCATCAGTAATATGGAAGGGCTACAAGGTCCAGGTGGCTGTTGGGTTGCTATACTGGGTAGCACTCTAAGAGTCTTTTGGGGAGCTTTGGTAGCAAGTATGCATGGAGATAAGGAAGTCTGACATGAGGGTGTTCCAGGTTTGGCTGCTTTCTGATAAGCTGTTATGGCAACAGTTTGTTTGCCAGTGTTGGGTGACAGCACCGCTGCTGTTAGTGGCTTCTTGGATTGGTTGTGGATTGCACCCTGGAGCAGGTACAGGGATGAGGAGGCAAAGTATGCTGAGCAGGAGGGGAAGAAAAGGTAGCAGCAAAGATGAATCATGAAGGGGTGGAAACCCTAGAGCTGGAGTGTGTTAATAGCAGGACTGATGCTGTCTGTAATGAGGGTCATGCTAGCCTTAAATAGCTCCAGTAAGTGATGAGTGTAAATGGATGTCTTGTTTGTAGAATGACTGCTTTTTTGTCAGTAGCAGAGACTAACGCGGGACGAGAGATGTGTTTGTGGGTAATCCCCATGGCTTGCATGGGAGTTTATTCCTTTTTTGTCTGAAAAATAGTGTGGAGGCAAATACAAATTTAGAAATCTCTTTGCAAAATATCCACAATAAGAAATGGAGGGGGAAACAATTCAAGGCTGATTTCAAGGAATTTCAATTCTTTATTCAAAATGAAATAAGCCCGCAGCTGCCATCTCCAGCTTTGTTTACCGCATTCAGTTAATGATGGGTTTTAAGGTTCCGTAAAGTTCAGTCTGATACCCATTTTGTTTAATCCTTAAAATTATGTGCCAACATGTTTGTGAACAAAATCTTACTATTTAATTGTTTTTGTTTTCGTTATTTACAAGGTGGAATATATGTTAGTGAAATTTGACCATGAGAATAAGAAAGTGCGCTTGGTGCTCTGTGGTGAAGAAGTTCTTCAAACACTGCAAGACAAAGGGGAGAAGGTAAACCCCAAGTGAGTAATTTTCCTGTTTTGTGGGTTGGGTATTTTTTTCTGTTACGATATTGTACAGAAAGTGTTAACTTTCAAGTCTGCTGTCAGTAAAATTGTATCGTTACATAAGTCTGGGGTGCAGGAAGCGAAGGATTTAATCACACTTGCAGGCAGGCCATGCGCGTTTTTTGTTATGCTTTGGAAGAAAGAAGGATGTAATGGTGAGCCCACAGAAGTTACAGTTTGGTATTTGTTTTTTCTTGCCCTGGTTTTGTGTCTGTGTATACACAGTAATTTGGTACTAGACCTTCCGTGCCCTATAAAGTATATGCATGTGTGTACTTGCCCCTGTATCTGTGGCTACAGGAGCAGTTGAGGGCTGTGTAGGGGAGACTGTTGTCTGTAGGAGCACTCTCCCATTTTTGGCAGAATTCGGAAGGCAGGTGTAAGAATGGCAGGGCAGTTCTTCCCCATTCTCTCCCATGGAGTTTTCAAGAATAGTTAGATTATATCCCTATTTCAGCTAGCCAGAGAACTGTGAATTACCTTTGAACTGATAGCCACAGACAGCAAAGTGTTTTGGCTGAAGAAAGCCAAAGCAGGTCACACCTTAACGGGAGCATAGAGAAACTGCTGCAGTAACAAAAAGCTTTTATTCCCTGGGCCTGTCTGCTTCTTTCTAGGTACCATAGCCTCGTCTTCCAGTAAGGCTTCCCTGTCTGTCTTCCTCAGTAGGGGGACTATTGAAAGCGTGCAAAAAGGAATCCCTTAGCTTTTAGGCTCAAAACCAACACTGCCAGAAAAACAGTAGGGGAGATGTGACTGTCTCTTTGTAGAGTGTGCTGCATAGTGATGGCATGGCTTCCCAAAGGGGAAGTGACTAGGTGCACTCAACCTGATAAATTTGTGAAACAAGACCAAGTATTCACAGGCAGTAGAAAGAAGAAATTGATCATAACTTTTGCCTTGCCGTGTACTGTGAAAGCAGTTGAGCATTCTGTATTTTCCAGTTTCAGTTAAAACCCCAAGGAACAAAGCTTGAGACAGATACTAAGGTGATTGCAGTTTGACATAGGCAAATCCTACTTACTACACTATGCAGCAACACTTTCTACTGCCAAACTATGCCGTAATTTCTTTTCACTGCCTCCTGGCAGTGAGGTACATTGGCAAGTGCATTGTGTTACTCTACTGAGTATTCAAATTTAGGAGATTTTTCTTGCAAGTTGCATTCATTTCTGAAATTCCCACGAATAGTTCATCTTTTTTTGAAGTTGCAGAAATATTTAAATGAGGCTGTTCTTTCATTATAGCCACCCAACACTCTGGCGACCAGAATATGGAAGCTATATGATTGAAGGGACGCCTGGGCAGCCATATGGGGGAACCATGTCTGAATTTAACACCGTGCAGGACAACATGAGGAAAAGACGGCAAGAGGCTGCTTCTGTTCTCAAAGAAAATGAGGCTATTTGCACTGTGACATCATTTCCACGGTGAGATGGTTGTTGAAGTGTTCCCTATTCTTCTTACATGCTTTTTGTCCTTATTGTATATAGCCACACTGTACATGATTCAATTAAAGTACCTTGGCTTAATGTTCCAGTTGTGTTCCCTAAAATTTTATTGCAGTGAGACAATCAATCAAGCATCTTTTATATTTTTAGGTTACTTGTAATCTGTGATGATTTTGTATAAGGAAAGAGTACTTGAATATTTGTAACAAGATACTGTATAGAAAGTAGTCTGCCATCTTGAAATCATACACAAAAGGTTTCTTTCTACCTGTTTTGCAAGCGTTTATAAATAGCAGTTTTGTAAAACGTGGCTAACCTGGTCTCTTTTTTAAACACTACTTTTTCATTAAAGCACATGCAAGCTGCTTCTGGTGGTTTGGAGCACATAGTAGAACAGGAATGCAGTTATCTTTACAAAATGAAAACTTAAAATTTCTATAATACTATACTTATTGAATCTAGAAAGGAGAGCACCTCTCCTGGGTTCATAGCACCCTTAACACCCTTTCAAAGGGCAGATTTCCTCATTTTTAGTGTTGTAAAATGCTCTTGAAGTTAAATTCGGCATGTGCTTCATTACCTAGGAGAAACTGTACTCTGTGACCTTCCTTTCAAACATAATTCTAGGCAGGCATTTATTGTGTTCATTCTAACTTGCCTGGTCAGTCAATGAAAGAAGATAGTTATGCTTAAAATAGTAAATTAAAAAAAAATTGCTCTGCAGTAGAAGAGAAGCAGCTGGCCTTACTAGCTGGTTTCTTGTCTAGTACAGAACACAGTGGCCCTAAATTCTTGCTGAGAGCGGGAATCATACAAAATGTGACTTAGCAGCAAAGTTCAGGTACCGAAATGCCTGCATTATGCCCCATGAATGCTATTTTAAGAACACTCAACAAAATACGCCTCCTTTTTATGACAGCTATACTAGACATCTTTAAAGTAATAGAAGCTTATTTAAAATCCAATGGTTAAGTAGTTCTCAATGTGTTACAGAATTGGGGTGGGGTTTTTTTTGCCCTGCAACCTTACAAATAGCTTGCCAGTCAATAAGTTCTGTGTACAAATGTTTCAGACCCAGTCTTGCAAGGAATAAAGGGGGAAGAGGGGCTCATCACTTTGTCGATACAGATAAATACTTTCTACATCGCTGTTAGGAGCAATACATTGGACTTCAGAGAAAGCCAGTAAATAATAAAATGTAGCTTGTTTATTACATGTGGATCATCCCAAACATAGTTTCATCCTTCAGAGATTGCTCTCCCTAGCCTATTTAGTTTCTTATTTCTGCCTTTTGCTATCTTGCTGTTCAAGTCCCTGTTGGCTCGACTGGAGTCTTGTGAGCAAACATATCTGAGGTTTTGTGGGTTTGAGTTTTTCTGCTACCTTCTCTCTGCAACAGTATGTACATATGCCTGTCTCCATCTGTGCATATGCATTTGTGTATAATAAAAATAAATCTGTGCATCTGAAAAGAGAAACTTGTTAGAGTGCTGATAGAAGAAAGGTAAAGAAGTAGGCTTATTCAAATGAGAATAACTCAGTTAAAAATGAACAAACCTGAAAATGCTTAAATACAAGAAGAATACTAGCCTAGAATATAAATGAGTATCCCTGGTTCTTAAATTTGTGACTTCTTGCTACTGGATCAGAAAAGTGTTTTCTTTCTTGAGGACTGGAGTGATGAAGTTTGCAGTGTTGTGCTTATGTAAGCGATGAAGTTGGGTGTACATATTGTAGAATAACTTGCATACTTAAACCAGGAAGAAGAAACCAATAGCAAAGTACATGTTGAACATAAACAGTATTTCCAGAAATGTATGTGTTCCTAGTATTTTGAATAGTTTACTTGTAGTTGTATCAGCTAACCCTTTTTAGACATCCAGATACAAGAGCCTTTTGAAATGGCACAATTCTTGTTCTTTATACTGTGAAGCATGGAGAAATTAATATTTCTAAATTAATCTACAACTCTACCTCCATCTTCTCAAATGTTCCTTTGCCTTAGTTGTACTGAAAACCTCCTTATTCTTGTTTCCAATGACTCTCAAACTTACAACAGAGGTTCCGGAGGGGAGGGTTGTATTCTAATTCATTTGAGTATCTCTGCATTTTACACCTGATAGCTGTCGTTTTTCTTTGCTTATTACATTTTTCTCATGGGATTTTTCAGAGTTCTAAGATCATAAATCATTGTGAGGCTTGGGATGTGCCTCACATTGAAACTACCTCTAATTCTTACAGAGTTGGTTAGAGACATCTTTTCAACGGGGGTAGATTGTTGGGATAACTTACTTCAGCAGTCAACATTAGCCTGACCCCTCTAGAAAACTGTTCAAAGCAAAGAATGCAGCTGCATGTCAGTATTAACGACAGATGCTAACGCACAAGAATGCATGTGTACTCTGCATAGTACAATGAAGTTTCCTGCTTCAGCCATTGTAAAGGTCCATGTTTACACTCTAATGATAAATAGAGAAGTGGTTCAAAAGAAAAATAAAAAAAATAGGGTCTGTTTCATCCACCACAAAGCTGTTTGTTGGCAAACACAGATCTTGTAAGGGCAGCTGTTCCAAGACGTCTTTCTGGTAATTTCACATGCATAGGTAGCAGTCTTGAAAAGTGCTTCAGAAATAGAGTAAACGTAAGTGTTTAAAAAAAAATTAAAAACCTGTTTTTATGCCTTTGTCTTCTAGAATCCTAACCTCCAATCATCTGACCATTTTAAAATCACAGTCTGTTTTCATTACAGTTTGGATCTCATTGTTGTGTTACATAGGTTAGGGTGTCCTGGGTTTACAGTGCCGGAATATAAGCCAACGCCAGTAGAAGGAGGAGCTTCAAAATCCCTGTTTTTTCCAGACGAAGCCATCAATAAACATCCTAGATTTAGGTAAGAGTGTTTGGGGAATAAGAATGAGAAGTTGAATATTTTGTGCTTAAATATCATTGGCATACCTGCAACTTCGTTACATTACTGGAGTAGAGAGCTATGTGGCTTGTTGCTGCAGATACCATAAGGACTTGAACAGAGATGGCTGGCTGTAATGACACATATTTCCTGTCAAAGTGACTTTAACTGTTAAGTTCAAGTAACTTTACATAGTACTTGATGCCATTGATTGTACAGTAGTTCACATTGATTGTGCTACTGCAGAACTGTTTCCAGTTTGAAATCCCAGTGCTAACTACTTCCATCACAGTTAATCCAGCTCTCACTCAGGTATGTCACAGAAACATCTCAATGTACTCATTAACTTCCCTAGTAATTCTGAAATGGAGCATGGTGTCAAACTGCTTGTGTAGTCTGAGAGGAGTTTTCATTCTAAGGTGAGACTTGGGAGAAACAAAATCATTTTAAGTAAAAATTAAACACACAGTTTTCCCTTACCCTTGCATGCTCCAGGTCAGTAGCCTTTTGCTTGTCTATTCTATCAGCATAGTACGGTGAAGTCCACTGAAATAAGACTGGCTTTACTGAAGAGAAATTCAGCACTGTATATGTTACAGTTTATCTTAAACTAGGAAATAAGTGTCCAGAAGGAAAATGCTCAGATAGAAAGTTGACATACTGAACCCTTGAGAATTGCTGAGAAACTAAGTGCAAAAACATATGCATAAAAAAGAAACTTGAAGATACTTCAGCAAACTTTTGTTGTTGTAGTACACTGACCAGAAACATTCGGCACCGAAGAGGAGAGAAGGTTGTGATAAATGTACCAAGTAAGTAAACAGTCTGTTTATTTTTCAAAATAATTGTTCAGTGTAATGCTCTGGGTTACTGAGTACCTGCGTTTTCCACTCAGTATTTAAAGATAAGAACACGCCATCACCATTTATCGAAACGTTTCCTGATGATGATGGAGAAGCAGCAAAGGCAGCAAAGCCAGACTACATATACATGGATGCTATGGGATTTGGAATGGGAAACTGCTGTCTTCAGGTAAAATGCGCCAAGGTGTCTTTCCTAAACGCTTCGTTTCTTAAGACTTGTCTTATTTCTAATTTCTCTTGCCCAATTCAACCGGTGCATTTCCAGAGTGGCAACATGGGGAATAAAACAGCAAATTTAATATTGTACCTGGTAATCTAGTCCTAAAATCAGGACTATTGGATTTGCATGGCAAGGTTTGGTAACAGGAGGGCTACCGTGATGTCTTCTCTGAGAAGCTTCCCCTGTGTCCAGTACAGCCAATGCCAGCCATCTTCAAGATGGACCCACTGCTGGCCACGGCCAAGCCCATCAGGGATCGTGGTAGTGTCTCTGGGATAATGTATTTAAGAAGGGGGAAAAGTTACCAGGAGCAAATGCAGCTGGAGAGGGGAGTGAGTATGTGTCATAAACAGCTCTGCAGACACCAAGGTCAGTGCAGGAGGGCAGGAGGTGCTCCAGGTGCCGGAGCAGAGATTCCCCTGCAGCCAGTGATGCAGCCCATGGTGAGGCAGGCTGTGCCCTGCAGAGGGAGAGATTTCTCCTTTGTGTTATTTTATTTTATTTACAAACCACACTAACTCCTGTAAAAAATTTCTCATTCTTGCATATTTTCAACAATCTGCTGAGAAGTCTCCTCACTGGTTGTACCATGAAGCTCCCAAATCCATGTGGGCAGCTGTCTTCTGCTACCGTGTGCTGGCTGATGTCCTTGGCCCTGTTTTCTCCCATTTTTGCATGCCTACTTCATATTGTTTCCGTTCATTTGCCTGAGTTACTGCTGTTTTACAGTATCCTCTATTTAAATACAGGTGCCGTGTCTTGGGAGTGCTTTAATCCTCTCAGTGTCTGTTTATTTTAAATGTTTCCCTCCCATAGTAACCTGATGCTATGGGCTGATACCTTAGGTTGTAGTGGTATGTTTGACTGTTGAGAAAATCTGTCTGTTGCCACTGCTGTCTTGGAAGCAGAGCTAGGAAGTGGCTAGTGTTAAGTCTCTAGGGGATTAAAGGAAATTCTCCAATCTCTTGTTTCACAGCAGTGGCAGAAATAACTCCATTCAAAGCACTTCCCTTTCAGAATGAGAAACTACAAAAGCTGAATAAATGAAATGTTCTTGACAGCTCCTTGAGTATGATTTCTTGTCACTAAGGGTAAACTAGGGAGAGTCTAGCATAGTAGTAACGCATACATAATACTGCATGGTTTTACAAGGTGTTAAGTTTGGTATGGTATGTTTTATACTACCCCTTTTTTATTTAAAACCAATAAAAGAAACTTAGCCTTACCATTCAGAACTTGTTTAAAAATATATTAAAATCCTTTTTAAGGAGTAGTGTTTTACTATTCCCCTTCTTGTAATCAGTGATCAAATTTTGTAGTCTTGTTATCATAAGGGGAGAATGAGAACAAGGCTGGCAGGTGTTACAAGCAACTGCTTGTGTATCAACTAATAATTCTTGGTAACAGGCTAGAAGAAAACATGTATTTCTGTAAGGTAGCTTGCAGTATGTGCACCTCCTTTTGCTTTTTTTTCTCACTACACACCAGGCTACAACTTTTATATATTTCCAAGGTTAAAAGTAATGTCCTGATGAGCTGGGCTGGGACAGCCCACAGTGGCAGTGGCGTGGGAGGTACTGCACCTGCAGTCTTGTGCTGCCTGCAGCCCTCCTCTGGAGAAGACTGCTGTGCCCCTTTCCCCTGTAATGGGGTGTTTGGCCAGAAACTGGATTGATTCCCAGATTTAATGTGATTTGAAATAAACATAAGCAGGAAGAAAAGTCTGTTACCACTGTCAGGGGAAGGAGTGTAGATGTCCTGTTGTTCCACCCCAAGGCAGGCTTCCTAGTGCTGGAAATCCAAAGTTAGTGATGAGAAATCGTACTTAGCTGCTGCTTTGCAAGAGAAATACTCTTGCCTTTTCAAAAGTATGTTTTGTTGGGTTTTATTTTCTTATAGCTGCTTGAAGGATAGACACAGAAATATTTTCTCTACCACACGCCCTTTTTCTAACTTGGGATGTTTTAATGAACGTTGGCTGCAGATTTAAAAAGACAAACCAAACAAACTTAAGTCCCATATTCCTTCTACACCAGCACCCCTCCCCCCAAAAGTAATCCGTCTCTGAGCCCACCAGTGAACTCAGGAGGTTTTGGGGTGTTTGGGTGTTCGTTGTTGGTTTTTAAGGCTTACTGGGGATTAGATTGGGCTTCAGTGGCAGACTGAGAAGAACCTGTGTGTTCTGTGGGACTCTAATTGCAATCCATGGAAAAGGAAAATGTCTGTTCGGCTAGCATTCTTCAGGACAGCAAGCAGCGCTGGTGATTTAGGCCTGAAGCCTATGGTATGAAATGATGACAGCGGTACAGGAGTACACTCCTGTCTAAGTTATCCTCTGGTCTAGGATATGTAAACTGTGAAGGAGAGAGAGGCTTTCAGTCTGTTTAGCATCTTTTAACAATTTTGAGGTGATTGATCCCCTTCATTTTTAAAATGCATGAAGTGTTGGTTTGGGAAGTCTCAGAGGCTAAGACGTGCCACTAGAAATGCGTCTCATGTTTGATGGTGCTCTCAGCAAATTTCACCACAAGTTGCAAAGGAGTTATACTTTCCAGTGGCCTCTGTGTGGTAGGGCTTCCACATCGTTAATGGCTTCCGCAAATAAAATTTCCTTTCCATCTTTTGCTGTGTCCTGGCCTGTAATATATGCAAAAGTGGACTTTTGGGGTTTTTTTTAATAGAAGTTACAGTAGACACTAAGACTTACTTCTGCAGTTTTTCAGGATCAAAGGGCATTTTGAAATGTTCTATAAAACAGGATTAGCTATCACATAAAACAAATATCATATCTACAACCTCTTCTGACTGTTTCAGTAGGTGGGTTCCTGGCTTAGTTCCTGAAGGTGCGTTACTGACCCACATGTATTGTAGATCTTAACTCATTTTTTTTTGGTTCTGGCAAGTGTTTTTATGTTTAGCCTCACAGACGAAAAGTCGTGGTCTGAAATCTTCTAATGAACATGGAAATGGTGTGGAAAGAAGCTTGTGATAAAAGTGCTGCTGATAGATGGGGAAACCAGTTTGTCCAAGAATTGGGGGGGTTGATATCCACACAAAAAAAAAAAAACCAAAAAAACAAAAAAAACCCCACCCAAAACCAACGAAACATAAACCCCCTTAAAAGTCCTGGTATTTAAATAGTTTTATTGTATCACACATTCTAAACCTAGGAATACTGTGTTTGCACTGTGATTGTAGAAATTATGATAGCAGTTGTTGTTCTTCCAACAGGTAACATTCCAGGCTTGCAGCATTTCTGAAGCAAGGTATCTCTATGATCAGCTAGCCACGATCTGTCCCATTGTGGTAAGTAATGGACTTCTATTGCATGAGCTCTGCATTGTGTGAAAGCTGTAAAAAGAATGTAAAAAGAAAAAAAAAAATCTAATGTAAGAAAACCCAAACTTGAATGCTACTCACAAATTTAGTACTCTGGGAGAAGCATCAGTCTCTTCCTAGGTTGTCACATGAGCAGTGTGATTTCTTTAATGTTCAGATGACTCCACAAAACGGATTATGTCTATTTTTTCTCTCCTCTGCCCTCCTTCTCACATGTGTGAGACTCTTGCTGAGTAGTTCTAGAAATACATTTGGGGCAGTTTTTCATGAAAACAAGACAAACTTATTTCTTAAAACAAGGTTTAATGTGTCAACTCTGGTGTTACAAAGGTTTTCAGCTTAAGTTGTTTAAATCTGTTCCCTTTGTAAGCATGTGGTCATAAACGGGTGTTACAAAAATAAAGTACTGGTCTGGTCTCAGTGGTGAGCAGATCCTGCTCCAGGGGAGGCATATTCCAGCACTGTTACTAAGGTGCTTGGCCAAACAAAAATAAACAAAACGAAATGGTTGCCAGGTGAGCTTTAGGAGATTGGAAGTATGCAAGCAGAATACTTGCTGATTTAATGTGAAATTGCTTCTGCCTATATCATGTTCATGTTTCTCAAGTGCTAATCTGAAGATGTAATAAATTTGGAGAGTCAAATTCTTACTGAGTAGTACTAACCCTTCATCTAGGCATATTCTGGAGATGGCAGTTGAGAGATTTGTGGTGATACGGCTTTGGCTATGCATTAAACTGAAGTATATACTTGAGTTACTTTTGTACCACCAATTTTCCCTTTCTAGTGGGGTTATATTTTGCTTTTGGTTCGTTGGCTTTTTCCTTTGTTTTCATATCGGGCTGTTTTATTTTAGATGGCGTTGAGTGCTGCATCTCCATTCTACAGAGGCTACGTGTCTGATATTGACTGTCGCTGGGGAGTAATTTCTGCATCTGTAGATGATAGAACGCGAGAAGAAAGGGGGCTAGAGGTAAGTAGTGTTGGGCAGCAGATGTCTGGCTTTTTTCAGTCAAAAAAATTAAATCTCCTTTAGTATCAAATTCTGCTTGTGCTCATCAAAATCCCTAACAAGGGAACATGGCAGTCTTCCTGGTAAATATAGGAGATGGTGTAAACATTCACCTTAGCTCTACAATTTACATTAGCAAATACATATTTTTAATTAGGTATGAAATCCTAGTAGAATTCCACTCACTCCTCTACAGCTTGCTGAAAAGTTCCCCCTGTGATGAAACTTTGCAGCCTGTGCTTGAGCTCAAAAAGCAAAAATTGCCTTGGATTAAATAGCATGTGCTGAACAATGTGAAAAGATCAGTTGTATAAACTAGAGCAATGTGAAAAGACCAGTTGTCAGAACTTAAGGAGTTTGTCTAAGCAGAAGTTGGGATTCAAGGCACTTACATAATTGTAGGAAAAAAATAATTAAAAAATCTACTTGAAGTATTACCCATTTTAAGAGCATCTCTAATAATGTGTGCATAGTTAAACTGTATCGATATGTGTTGTAATAGGTATAATAATGCTTTCCACATACTTGGGGTAATGGTATCAGGAAAATGCTTCCACTTCTAGAGAATTCTAGTCAATGTGTGATGACTGTTTTTCGGCTCAGATACATACAGCTGCAAACAAAGCAGTCATAATTTGAGGATTGCTTTCTATTAAGCCTATTCAATACTTGTGCTTTGAATAACTTAATTGAGGCTGTAGGGTTTTTTTAAATAGGATAATAAATCTCACATGAGTGTCATTAGTGAGCAAAACTTAGGTAACATTGCTAACAAGCTGTTAAAATATTGTATTCTTAAATTATATAGCCACTGAAGAACAACCTTTATAGAATCAGTAAATCCAGATATGATTCCATAGACAGTTATCTATCTGAATGTGGTGAGAAATACAATGACATTGATTTGACAATAGACAAAGATATCTACGAGCATCTAATAAAGGAAGGTAAGTGTTTGCTTCATTATGAGCAGGTTAAGAATTATGCTTGCAGTGTGTGGGGATATTTTACGGTTTTGTTCTTGTTTGTTTCAATCCTTGTGCATCCCTCAGAGTGACTCCTACTCAGGACGTATCTGTTTAGCATGGTCTTGAGAGTTTTTAAGAGGTATTCATTTGTAACAGACTGGAGAAACTCAGTGTTTGACGCATTAATGTTTTATCTTTGCGGAGAGAGCGGAACTGCTTTAGGAAACGTGGCACAGAGGTGCATCAGAAAACAGGAAGAATGGCAGCCACACCAGTGTTCAGCTGCCATTTCCAAACAAGAATCTGTTTTGGTTTGGTTTTTTTTTCCCCTGTTTAATCATTTCCTTCCTTCCTGAAGTCATCATTTAAACTTTAACAGGATGTGGTGGGTTGAGGTAGCATTGCAGAGTTGGATGTTTTCAGTCTTGTAAAACAAATCATTTCCTAGAGCCTGCTTTGCTATGTGTGAATTGTTTGTTTGAATTTTCATTTTTAGGTATTGACCACCTTTTGGCACAGCATATTGCACACTTGTTCATTCGAGACCCATTGACTTTGTTTGAGGAGAAAATACATCTAGATGATGCAAATGAATCCGACCATTTTGAGGTTGTGTCTGATTTAGAGAAATTTAATACATGTATACATAAAATGGCTTATTCTTAATAGTACTGCTTAATTGGAGCATAGCTATATTAGCTAAGAATGTTTCTCCTGAATTTTTCACTCCAACTAGTTCTTTAGCATAGGGCTCTGCAGTTATAATCACATTTATTTATTTGTTTTTATGATTTATTTAGGAAAAAGTGGTGGCTTATACTTTACACCAGATAAAATATGAAGAGCCCAAGCTATAGCTATGTTACTTTTTTGGCTTCCTAAAAACTGTTTTGCATGACATTTATCTATAAATGTCTCTTGCACAGCTTTATGAAATAACTACTATGGTAATATTAGGTATTTTTAGTTTGGGATGCGTCAACACTTGATTAAAAAAATAAGTCAGCTGAATCTCAGTCCCCTAGTATCTTATATGTAATCCTCAAACAAAATAGCATGAGAAAGTGTAATGTATTTGCTCCTAGGTTGGGTAGTTATTTTATGGTTTTTAGGAAGTCATGCCACTTAGTTTAGAAGCGCTTCTCTAACTCAATTGGCTGTTCCTGGGAGAATATTAGGGCTCTACTTATCTGCTTCTTTTTCTTTGATTATATTATAGAATGATGCATATCTTGATTCTGACAGATTATTTCGTGTGCTTTGCAGAATATTCAGTCTACAAACTGGCAGACAATGAGGTTTAAGCCACCTCCTCCAAATTCGGATATTGGATGGAGAGTGGAATTCAGACCTATGGAGGTAAGAAAGGCATCAGTACGCACAAAAGCACGTTTCCTTTTAAATGGAGAAGTACCAGGCATTCTGATATCCAGTCTCAAACCCTTATTACTTATGCAGTGTTTTCTCCCTTCTGAATTGCTAGATGCAAGTGAAATGGACAGCAGTGTTTAATCAGACATGGACTGTGGGAATGTAACTGACAGGGGAATCCACTGCAGCCCAGCAAAGCATGCTAATGGATTTGGAGTGATGGGGAAAGGAATTAGGCTTGTATTAAAGCAACAGTAAACAAATCCCCATTTAGCTTCCAGGGACTGTATTTCTCTAGTACTTTTCCTGGTACTGAACAATTCCACTGTCATTGTTTTGTTTTTCACAAGTGCTTCTACTTTATAACTGTCTATTTCTGAGCCCTCTGAATTTAATCCTTTTGAAGGGGAAATCTAAAAGCTATTATACATTTGTAATTACACAGTGAACCTGAAGGTGCAGGTTATTAGTCTTTTGAAACCCAAGTGTGTTTTGGCATTGGATTAAGGTTGCGTTTGTTGGTGGATGTGTGTTGTGCATTTGAAGTCACTGGATGATTCCTGCTTGTCCATCAGTATCTCTGCTAGCAGAGTGTTTGTGAATACAAGTACCAACATGAATGTTCAAGTCATTGTTTTAAACTCTCACAGATATTTATCTACCACCATAAGTGTGTTCCCACTATATTAATTTAATCTTTAATCCTTTCATGTCAGGTCCAGTTAACAGACTTTGAAAACTCTGCATATGTTGTGTTCGTGGTGTTGCTAACCAGAGTGATTCTGTCATATAAACTGGATTTTCTCATTCCTTTGTCCAAGGTAGGTGTGAAAGATCAGATCTGTTAGAGCTAAACGCAAGGTATTTGCATCAAGTCTGATTTTTATCCTCTGCAAGCTAGGAACTAATAATATTTGTGTACTCACAGAACAGTCATTTTTATCTTTCAGTCAGTTTTTATCTGTACTGGTACTCTGAATCAATTTCAGCTGTGCAGTGTTAAACAAATATTTTACTGCTGTCTCGTGGAATTAAGCTTATAGACAGATACTGTGGTGCCTAACAGGGTCTGACTAGTGCAAAAATGTTGAGAAATACCATTGTCACGAGACTGCTTTTGAGATTGGGAAAGGGCATGTTTCCACCATTTTACATATGGGAGGGGAAATGCCCTGTGGAGGTCAAAATAAAAACTTTAGGTACTTATTTTAACATTGCTGTTGCCTGTGTCTTGCTCTTTATTTTGTTTGTATCAGATGGAGAGAGAAAGGAGGAGTTCAGCATGCTTAGTGTTACAGTGTATTTGAGTGAAAACAAATACTGCTATTCTGGTCACAGCTGTGACTTGTGTTTGGACAGACCAGCCATGCAAAATGTGCCTTTTCCTTAATCTTGTTCTCACAATTGTTGAACTGTTTTGTGTGAAACTGTCCTTGCACATCATCTTTCTGAGGCACCTGACCTGAAAATGTCTTTTTAAATGGAGAGCTCTGCAATGTTATAGATAAAATCAGTGCAGAATTGCAGCGCAGAAGGCTTTTGACAGACCATATACTAGAAAATACTACCAGCACATACCCATAATATCCTGTGTTTATTCCTAGTGTTTTTAATTAAAATGGAGAAATACTGACGTTGTAAATTAACAGTAATCATACCGTACAGTTGGTATGATTTCTAAAAGGAGAAATTCTCTTCCTGATGTCAGGGAGTTCAGACTTGATAAATAGAGCAGCAATTTAGCCCATAGAGTGCATAAGTACATTGTTGTTTGGAATATCTCAAAAGCACAAATATTTTAACTAAAGAATAGTAGTTAAGGCTGAAAAACAGATGAGGTGCTGAAAACATTAATAGAGTTGGGGGGCTGGGGAGGGCATAAAATTGAGCTTGCCAAGCAATTTGGCAGGTAATGCAAAACAGAATTGCACAACCATTGGTAAGCCTACCTCTTTCAAGTAAATAATATGGGTTTATGGGGCTAACCTCACACTAATCTTTGCTGTCGGATTGAGTGCGTTGTACTCCTGTCAACTAGGACTGGAGTGCTTTCAAACTTTCAAAGCAGCCTGTTGTGTAAGTAGGTTTCATAATATAAAATGAATGAAAACACTTGAAAACAAAGCTTTGAAAGGCAAGAAGTGAAGATTTTGCATTGCCCTTGATAAAAGGTCAGACAAAGAATTCAGCAAATCATATCCCTTCTTCTGAAAACAGTACAGTAAAGCTAATGTCTGAAAGCTGTGTGATGCTAAATCTATGAGAACATACCAAACAAAGAATTTGGACAAAAATTTTCCATCCAGGAAGACAGAGCAGTGCTTATGCTATTTGCAGAATGTGTGAGCAGTGCTTTGTAGTTTGACTTTTTCAGAAGCCTGCAATTTAGAACTTCTTTACTAGCAGCCTAAGTTTGTTTGTTTGGGTATGGAATAGATATGATTCCCATACAAAGTTACTGGAATTCTGTTTCTGAAAGTTTGTTTAATACAGTGAGGGCTCTTCTAAAGACTTCAATGATTTTGCTAATAAAAGCAGCGAACTGTGGCTAGGAAAATGTTGATTTTCTTCTGTACTCATTCAGATGGCATCTAAATATGCCAAGAAGTCTGCCAGATGGGTTGCAACTTGTTAATCACAGCTATACCTGTGTTTTCACCTGGACTTTAAATACTAATGTAGCATGTTCTAACATAATACCATTACTTTTTCTGCTGGAGACCCAATTTCATAGAACATCATCTCTTTGTGGTTTTGTCCAGGAGCACTGAAGAATGAAATGAAACTTTATCTCCACAGCTTAATCTGGTATGACTAAATAGCAATAGTGGATGTTTCAACTAACGAGACCAAAATGTGAGGGTTTGGGAGAATCCTAATTTTCAAAAATATGTCACAAATCTCTGAAATACTTCTTTTGCCAGGTGGATGAAAACATGAAGGTGGCCCAGAAAAGAGATGCTGTCCGGCAGGGAATGTTTTACTTCAGAAAAGATATTTGCAAAGGTATGACAAGAAGCAATCTGTTTAACACTCCTGTGGATGTTTAGTACATCTCTTCCCTTCTAACCATTTCTTCCTTTCCCTTTGTCATCTATGAAGGTGGAAACGCTGTTGTGGATGGATGTAGCTCTGCACAGAATGGGACAGGCACCAACACAGAAGAGTACACCTTAATGAGCATTGATACAATTATCAATGGGAAGGTCATAGCCAGTTCTGCCTGGAACACAGCACTTTCCCCTCTGTTCCACCCTCCCAGAAACCAGATTGAGTATGTTTTGTATGCTGACTCTGTTCTTTTTCACAGGAAGGAGTCTTTCCTGGTTTGATCCCAATTTTGAATTCCTATCTTGAAAACATGGAAGTGGATGTGGACACAAGGTGCACCATCCTAAACTACCTGAAGCTAATAAAAAAGAGAGCATCTGGTACGTTTGACACTGTTGGACATTGATTTTACTGGCATTTTTCTACTTAGACAGTAGTTGGGCTGGTTTAGTGTTTTCATTTGGGTAAACCTGGTGGCAGCTGTGGCTGTCTGGTTCAGTGTTGAATTATAGGAGCAAAGGACTGGAGTGTGTTGTCTGGCTTAAATCTCATCCTGTGTAATTCTGGTTATGTTTTGTTGATCCATTTTAGAACTTAAATTAGGAGTAACTGGTACAGTTACACTGCTTTCTAAGCTGTAGTTGCATCTCCAATCCAAGATTGCTCTTTTCAGCACTTACTGCTGCTTTTGCGAGTGTATTTTCCACTTTGTAGTAGTTTGCATGTATAGTAATCCCCTTTGCTGGTCACTTGAATGTTGAAAGAGTATGTGGGACTGGGTCCGTTAGCCTGGTATTACTGGTATGACTCCAAAGCATTCATTAGTCTAAATTTCGGTATGCTAGAGCATGGGACCTAGTCTTTAGCTCTCTGATAAGAAAGCCCTTCTGTAAGAAGCAACATTCCTTAAAGGCAGAGCAAACCAGGCTTCTCCCTTCTTCCACATGCTGCAGTGTTTTTGAAGACAGGCAATATAATGACTCTTTGTGCTCCTTTTTAAAATTCAGCAGTATAATGAGTAAAAGATGCAGGCTAAACTGGAATTCAGAACTGGGCATGTAGCACAGTCTGCAGCAGCTTTATACCTTTCTGTGTACAGAGGCTTTGTGTGCCTGCCTTGCTGTAAATTTAGCTAGACAGTTGATTTTGTCTCATAAACCAGGACTCCCTCGCCCTCCCAAATTTTAAACTAAAGTGTTGCATTCCTTTATAATTCTTGAAAATTGTTGTAGAAGCTTTTACGTAAAGACTTTTTTAAAGCTGAGGTGGAAATCAGGACTTTTTCTTGCCTGGTAACTCAGTACTTCAGCAGTAGTTCAGAATGGTAGTAAGTTTTAATTAGTATGTCTTAACTCTGAGCTGAAATGATTTTTAAATGATGCTTCTTAAGAACCAGAATTCACAGAATAAAAAGCATTAGCTATTGTGTTACTGTGCCATGATGCTTCTCAGTTGTGAGCTTTGGGTTATTCTGGTTTAACTCTCAGTCTTACATCAAATGTTCCTGAACTGCAGCCTGTCTGGCATGAGACATGTCCACAGAGTGGCTGTTTTTCAGATTTCTCTCCTCACATGCTGAACACAAAGCACTCCTGAGAGTTAACCACTGGCACCTCAGCTGCTCTGGCTTTAACCTTGCCCTGGCAGTTTATCTGTGCTTCAGTTGCATCTTCTCCTGTAGCACAGCTAGGTATTGCCCTCCTGGTCTCTGTCTAGCTGGTGCATGATTGCCGCCTCTCAGTGATGCTACAGATTGCTAGGCAGGCAACAGCTACTGACCACCACTAAATATTAATGAGAGCAGTATTATGATAGCAGCATCAGGTGATCCTGATGTGCTTTCCTGGTTCCTGGCTGGCTGCAGTGTCGGCGTTTTCTTGGCCAAACTTGGTGCAGTAATAGTCGTGCTTGATGTTGTGTAAGTAGGTTTCCATGATTGTTGCCGTACCGTTCTTGAAGCAGTTACACTTTTGGTCCCTGTAACATCATACAACAAGAAATACTACAGTTTTATTATATGCCCTTTGGGAAATGTATTCCTGTAGTTTTGCATGTTTAAATGCTCTTCACAGTTATTTCATGATATACCTGCATTGTAGGATAATGTTTCTCTAATTGTAGGATGATGTTTCTCTAATCACTTCTCATCAACATTCATAAGCTTGCAAACTTCTGAAGTATATTGTTGCTTCTCAACCTGTGATTCCTATTGTCTCTCCTGGCTGCAAAGTTGTCTCACACCTTTTGTCACCCTCTGGCACGTTTTCTCAATAGGCTTTTTGGGAGCTGTGCATTGTGTTCACCCTTACAAAGGACGGGGAGGGATTGGGCTGCCTGACCACTAGGTGTCTGTGTTGGTGTGAGCTGGGCTGCTCTCCCCTGTTATCTCGCAGTTAACAAACCAGGAGCTAGTGCAGTGGGGAACTTCAGGAGCTGCCAGAGGGAGAAAGAATAGTAAGTCAAGGTAGACAGAACAAAGCTAGCAGATGAGTTGAATGGATCGACTACAAAATTATTTCGTATATACATATATACATATATGTATATACACACACACATATAAATATATGTAGCTGTTGTAGGGGTGTCTATTGGTTCATTGTTAAATGACATGTTCAAGACCTCTTGCTATACAATTTGTTGGTAACACCTGTTCCAGTAGCTACTTCTCTCTGCACTGTCTCTTTACAACATCTGAAAATTTGGAGATTGCACTAAACGATTGAGTTTTAGACCATATCAGCAATAGCTTAATTATGCCTGCAGTTTAGCCATATCGAAGAAAAAAAATGCATATTAGAATATGTTTCTCCTTAAAGCATGGACCATTCATTAATATGTGTATATAATGCATAGAACCTGAGGTGTCATACTGCTAAGTTAGCTGTATAACTGTGAGATTTGACTTCCCCTTGCCCACAGGAGAACTGATGACAGTTGCTCGATGGATGAGGGAATTTATCGCACAGCATCCAGACTACAAGCAAGACAGCATGATAACTGATGAAATGAATTACAGCCTTATTTGGAAATGCAACCAAATCGCACAAGGCCAGGCAGAGTGCCCAGAACTGTTGGGGGTAGGATTTAATAAGAAACAAAGCGGAAACAGAACCGGCTCTTTGTAATGAATTAATATTTCTTAAATGAAAGGAAGTTTAAGCCTTTTAGCAAAGATACTGTGAATCTGGTACAGTTTCATGGTGTGAAGACCAAAACAGGGATACTGCACTATAAAGTGGGCCAATCTGCCTAAATATTCGTTAAGGCATCCTAAAATGGACATATTCTTATTGTTAAGGTTTATACAATGTACATATAAATAGTAAAATATTTTTATGATTAACATCAATGTATTTTAATAACATTGTATCTAAAGTTATTGTGAATTAGCTTGTAACTTTTTTATGCTTATTCTAGAAAGAAAAATCGTCCTTTGTAAATGTCATGGTACTTGTATATTATATGCATTCCAGTTACTGAATGTTTACTGTAATTTTTTTAACCTGGAATGTGCTAAGTAATCTACCTTATTGTGTAAGAAAAAGAAAAAAAATCTTCTGGACCTACCTGAGTCGCAGATACTTCTTCCTTCCATTTGGGTTTTGAAGGTACATAAGAACACACAGATTATGTGCATCCCATTTGTTAATCTCTACAGCAGTTTCTCAGTTGCCACAAGACCTACATCCTTAAACTATAAAACTGAAGAAGAATGGATCTGTTCTTATTCGAATAATCTGCCTTCTGCAGATGCATTGTTATTTTTTTTCTCCTCTGAAGTAAAAGTGTACACTATTGCAGTTCAGAAATTTGCCTGATTTAACAAAAAAGCACTAATGGGGCAGACGTAGTAAAGAGAGGAGGGAATGAGAGCTGAACATAAAACTCTTCTTACAGAGGAGCCACAGAGACCTGCTCTGCATTTCAGCACTCTTTCACTGCTCTTTCTCCCACATTGCTGCTGTTTCCACAGTCGGCAGTGGTGCAGCACAAAACCAAACATCTGTTCATTCTTCCTGAAAGTTGAGTTTCTCATTTGTCATTCATTATAATAAATACTTCTGTCAGCATGTGTATTTCCTGTAGGTATGGACAACTTAATTCCCTCTAGAAAATAGTTATAAAGAAATCACAGCTACTCCTTTGAACTGGGGGTCAGTGCTGGGAGTGACTGTAAGGTGTTTAAAATTTAGCCATTGCAACTGTAAATAAAGCAACCTTAAGGGGCCTTTTTGATTTAGCTTCCTAACTGACTTCTAGAAGTGAATTGTGTTATGAGTAGATAATGCAAAGCTTAATGCAAGCACATATAAAATACCTAAGGTGTAATGATTTTTTTAAAAAGAACTAATGGAGAAACTGCAATGAGGAGGTGCACTAAGAAGCTTTTCTGTACTGACATTAGACTTTGTTCCGTGTTCACGGGTGTGCTTTAGAGAATAAAAAGAGCGCTTTTTTCCTGCTGTAGTGGACTTGTTTTACTCAAGCTGTAGGCCTGTGCTCATTTAGTTTCTGAAATAAAAGGAAATAAGGACATAAAAATAAAATTTGCAGTACGTATTGGTCACTTGCATGACTTAAGCCCACATTTTCAGATTGAAATAAGGAAGAGGAGTTCAGTACCTGGCAAGTACAGCTCATCTTGTCTAGACTCACTTTGTTCACATTAAAACTCCTTGGGACCAACGGCGAATGGTCTAATACCCCTGCAACAGACAAGTCCTTGCCATTGCCATGGTAGCATCTGTCCGATTGCACGGCATCAGCTGCTATGCTTGGAAGACCCCTTAAAAAGGTCGAATGATCTCCTGATGGTACTGCATCAGCATATGTCCTTTTTGCCTTTCAGCTGAGATTGTCACCCTTCTGACCTAGTAGGTGGCTACTGTCTTGTAAGCGAAAGCAAATTTTGTCATATTGGCTGAGAGATGCGGCTGAAAAGTTTCCCTCATGAAGTCTTGCATGCATGGTTTTGGAAAGGGTGAGAAAGATCAAACACAAAGCTGCTGCTTATTTGTTGAGGTGTCTGTGGTTGTGGAGCTTACATTCCCCACATGAAGTGTTAAGGTATGTGCTCCAGCCTGTTCTCCATGGTCTGGCCTGGTGAAGGCTCTCAAGGCAAACCAGAGCTGCTGCAGGGAGGGGGAAGCTTTGCCACTAGTTCTGAACATGCCTTAGAAGTGGCTGTGTGGTATCAGCACCTGCTCTGAGATGGAGCAGCAAGCCTTGGGTCAAGCCTCAGGCTCTGGCTGACCGTTTGCAGAGAGCGTGAGAAGCTCCCTTGGGTTATGAGTTCAGGATTCTTTTCCTGCAGTCATGAGGTTTTTCCATGGAAATAAGTGACCTTTCCAACAGCCACCTGAACAAAGGGAAGGGAAGAAACACCAAGCACCTGAGGTAAAATGCGATTGTTCCTTGCCCAAAGACCTTAGTAATGCATCGGTCATGGCACTTCCTGTAATTACTGATGTGCTGGCCCCAGTTCAACACCAGTAGTTTGCTTCATGCCTTCAACTCAGTTCTCAGCTAGAAGATTGTGTTGGCATTTCCGGAGAACCTGATGTTATAAACAGTACTCTGATACACAGTTTTCTCTTGAGAGTCAAACTGCTCGAGTATGAGTGCCTTTATTTCTGGATTAGTCCAGCTATGCTTTTATCATGGCCTAAATTGTCAAAATGTGGCTCCTTTTGTGTGCGCACAGAGCTCTGTGAGCAGTTTGCCTTTCTGGGAATGGTGCTTCAAGAGCTTTGTACGATACTTCAGTCCTGCAAAAGCAACCTGACTTCTGAAACAAGCATGCAAGCTTGTAGAAGGTGCACTGGGGTTTCCTGAAAAATGACCTCACCTTTTGTTTGCAATAACTTTGTTTAATAGTTTAAGTGGATTATATTTGGTGTGCTGATACAGGAGCAGTGACAGCTGAGATTATTTCAGCAGCAGCTATCTGGACCATGTGAGCTGGGTTTCAGCAGCAAAGGATTTCTGCAATCCCTTTCCAGGAGCCAGACCCTTCAGTCTGGCTCTTAAGGGTAAACAGCAGCATATTAACACATGCAATAACAGGCTAATGTGGATGTTCACTACTCCGGGAGAGCAGATAGGGATCAGAAGTACAATAGTCCCCCCTGCTGCATGGGGTATTGGAAGGTGACTGTAATGCTGAGCAGTGCAAGAGCCTGTGCTTTACAAGAGAACTGAAGCCAGAATATGCATTTTGAGCATTATAGCAGAAACCCCAGGTCTCAAGGTCTGAAAGACCTGGTGCTTCATCGGAACTTTCTTGAAGCCACTTTGTGGAGAAACAAACAACATTTGTACACTGTGACCTTTGCAATGAGCGTACTTGAACCCTGATGGAAGAGGGGGACAGTATGGCTCCTGAGGTGGGCAGGTGACGGAGTAGTGAGTTTTGTGATTCCCATCACATGAGCTAAGAGATGGCAGTGACAGCATCTCGTCTCCCTTTAAACAATGCAATGCCTTTCCTGAAGAGAAGTGCTACTGTCCATAAATGCTGGCTACAAATTAAACAACTGGGTGAAATTCTATGGCTTATGTTAAGCAAGAAATGGCTATGAAGTCTTTTCTAAGTCTGACTTAAAATACAGTATGTTAATTTAGCACTTGAATTAAGTTGTGTATCTCAAAGATACTCTGAAAACTAGCCATTACATGACCTAAAGGGAAAGTTGTAATCAGGTTGGCAGTGACAAGGTGAAAGTGACCCCAGTGAAGCAAAGTGAGGGTAATACACAGAGGCATGTTGTGCTCAAAAAACACAAATGAAAGTGTTAGTGCATGATGGCTCCTTATCTCTGACTTCCAAGAGTTTGTGTTCTGGCTGGAAAACTGCTAGTTTATAAAATATTTAAGCAACAACAACTGTTCCTATCCTGGAGAAGGTGAAGGTCCAAGCTCCTATTAAATGCATTAGATCAGAACAAAGCAGTTCTTTATGAGAGTACACACTTTGATGAAGGCATCTTAAAGAGTGCCTTGCTCTCTGACCACTGTCAGTCTGTGTGGCAGTGAGGAGTTGCTCTGTGTATGGTGCTCTGGCAGATCATGCTCAGGAGGGGCTGGGGGCAGCAGGGAAGAATGCATAAAGGGGTGAACCCTATCCCGCTTTCTCCCCACTCTCTGATTTGTGTTGGAGAAGCAGCTGTGCCTAGATGACCTCAAGCATTCTGGTTTGTTCTTTCCTTTTAACCATTTACTAGGTTGGACTATATGCCTTCCCATCCATTCCCATCTGGCAGTGCTGGACATCTAATCCCTGACGGTTGACTCACAGCATGGGAATTCAGAGGCCAAGAACCTGCAGTAGTTTCCTTGGCAGTGTGAGGAGTGGGACTCCTTGCCCGGAGACTGTCACACAGCCGCCTAATGAAAAACAGGAAAGCCTTCCAGAAGAATCCCTCTCCACTGAGGGGAAGCGAGGCTCAGCATCACCCGTATTTCATACCCTTCACCCCACCCTGCAGTGTTCCTGTGCGTTACTCATCCCTTTGGCATCAGCTATAGCACATCTGATTTCAAATGCCAATAGGACAGATGATGACCAGGGATGTTACTGGAGGGAAGCCAAGCGAGCATCCAGCTCTCCACACCCGCCCTGATGTTGGGTGAGCAGGAGACGCGGCTGTGTGGTGCTTTGTCTTGGACACAAACTGGACTCCTGAGTACAAACCACGTCTGCCTGTAGTTCGTCTCCGCTGCGGGGTGAACTAGAGCAGTGCAATATAAAGTCTGATGTGATCCCTGAGCTACGGCAGTGTTAACATCGCCAGCAAAGCGCAATAGCCCCAGCACGGAGAGTGGAAAAACAGCCAGCGTCCTCGCTGGGGCGCGCTGGTGGCGCAGGCAGGGATGAGGCAGGGAAAAGCTCACTGCTAAGCCCAGGGCCAGCCCTAGGTGTCCTCCTAAGTTAAGCAGCAACGCAGTAAGCTGGAGAGGGAAAATAACTGTTCTCTGGAGTGCAATGAGAAAAAGGAGGCAGAGCCACAGCGGTATTTCAGGTCCGAATCCTCTGTGCATTTTGGCCCAAGTTTCTACTCGTAGGCTTAGCCTCAGCCCGTGCGGCCGGTGCAAGCCTTTTCACGGCCTGGTGCCCCAGTGACTGTGCGCCCTCCTCTGCCGCCTTCCCCCCAGGAGAGGGGCTGCCCCGGGGGACACCCTGGCCAAGAGCCCTCCAGGTTGCTGGGGCGTGCAGATGACCCATGAGCAGGGCAGTCCCGGTGCGTGTTTCAGAGGGTTTGCCATGACACAGGCTGGAAAACAGGCCAGCCCATCCCTTTCAGAGATACGGTTCAGCTGCACAATTGCGTTGCTGGGAGCAAAACTGCCACCGTCTGAATTAAAATATTGAAACACGCTGAACAGCCATGTGAGGCGGAGAGGAGAATTCCCCTTTAAAATGCGGTTAGGTCTTGCTCTTAAAGTAATCAGTTCTAGACAACAGACTTCACTCACTGTTTTAAACCAAACCTGTCTGGGCCTCCTCAGAGAACGGCACAAAATAACACAT